CTTCTGGCCCCTTGTACTCTCCTTCCTCATATCCCTGTAGGGCATTTATATTCTTTACTTTCCTTGGACCCCAAAAATCAGGCTTTCGAATAAGATAGCCAGAGTACCAAGGCCCGATCATTTTCAAGGGGTTACTATTCTCCCCTTGATTCGTCCTGTGTATTGGCATCTCTGCTCTGTGGTGAGGGTCTCTCTAACCTGGGGCTTGGGAGGGACTAACTCGGAGTCTCACCCACAGACCGACGCGGAGAAGCACTCGCAGGTGGAGAGGAACTCCCTCTGGTCGGGCGATGATGTCAAGAAGTCCGACGGAGGGTCAGACAGCGGCATAAAGATGGAGCCGGGGTCCAAGTGGCGGCGGAATCCCTCGGACGTGTCTGATGAGTCTGACAAAAGCACGTCGGGCAAGAAGAACCCCGTCATCTCCCAGACGGGCTCGTGGCGGCGAGGCATGACCGCCCAGGTGGGCATCACCATGCCGAGGACGAAGCCGGCTACCCCGGCGGGCACGCTCAAGACGCCGGGAACTGGTGAGTGAGAGGCAGACGCTGTCTGGCATCCACAGGTGTCAGTTTGAAAACCAAAACCGCAGTCACTCTAGCAAGGAATTGTGTGTGTGGTTTTAAGTCCCTGTACATGCTCAGGTATTTGTTCTCAGGGGGTACCAGTGATGGCGAACCTTTTGAGCTCGGCGTGTCAGCATTTTGAAAAACCCTAACTTAACTCTGGTGCCGTGTCACATATAGAAATTTTTTGATATTTGCAACCATAGTAAAACAAAGACATATTTTTGATATTTATTTTATATATTTAAATGCCGTTTAACAAAGAAAAATCAACCAAAAAAATGAGTTCCCGTGTCACCTCTGACACGCGTGTCATAGGTTCGCCATCACTGGTAGACTCTGCTAATAATCCTCTTTCAAACAGGTTCACAGCTCTTCCTCTTTCCAGATGGAAATATGTGAGTGTGAGGGCTTAAGTCTGCAGATGGTTTCCTGGCTGAGGCCACAGTGAACGAGTGTGACCGTGTGCTGGTCAGGAGCTAACCCTCAAGGGCACACAGTCAAGTGTTCATAAACTGTTGGTATGTGGAGTTGATATTGTCCATGGCTGAAGGGTGTGTGTAAACGGGGGAAGTGTTTTTGCAGGAAGTCAAGGGTGCCTCCTGGAAGTGTTAGGAACATCGTTTTAATGGACAGAGGGAGAAAGTTCAGTAAAAGTCAGGGTCTCTTCCCCAGACACAGCGGTGATTGGCTGGCTGGGCTTTGCTCTGGGTAAATTCAGATGCTTTGCAAGAGAGTAGAATCACTGACATCTCCCAAAAGGCTCCCAGTGACAGTGGTAGACTAGATTGTCTTTCTAAAAAGCTGTCTTCTGCCTCCCAAGGCGCTGCTCTCCCCAAGGGGAAAGAGAGCCGGTTCTTTGAAGAAGGGGAGGATTTTAAACAGGCTGAGCTGATGAGCTGGCTTCTCGGTTTGCAGGTTAACTTTGCCGATTTCTCTCCCAGGAAAAACCGACGATGCGAAGGTGTCCGAGAAAGGAAGGCTCTCTCCCAAAGCCTCCCAGGTGAAGCGCTCCCCGTCCGATGCCGGCCGCAGCAGCGGGGACGAATCCAAAAAGCCCCTCCCCGGCAGCGCCAGGACGCCCACTGCCAATGCCAACAGCTTTGGGTTCAAGAAGCAGAGTGGCTCGGCCGCCGGTCTGGCCATGATCACAGCCAGCGGGGCCACCGTCACCAGCAGGTCAGCCACCCTGGGCAAAATCCCAAAGTCATCGGCGCTTGTGGGTCGGTCCACTGGCCGGAAGACGAGCATGGACGGGGCTCAGAACCAGGACGACGGGTACCTGTCCCTCAGCTCCCGGACAAACTTGCAGTACCGGAGTTTGCCACGGCCCAGTAAGTCCACCAGCCGCAACGGGGCTGGGAACAGGTCTAGTACCAGCAGCATCGATTCCAACATCAGCAGCAAGTCCGCAGGCCTGCCGGTGCCCAAGCTGAGGGAGCCTTGCAAAACGGCCCTGGGCAGCTCTCTGCCGGGTCTGGTCAACCAGACAGACAAAGAGAAAGGCATCTCGTCCGACAACGAGAGCGTGGCTTCCTGCAACTCAGTGAAGGTGAACCCAGCGGCCCAGCCTGTGTCCAGTGCGGCTCAGGCCACCCTCCAGCCGGGCGCCAAGTACCCTGACGTGGCCTCTCCCACGCTCCGCAGGTAGGTGGGGAAGTGGCCCTGAGCAGAACTGGAATGGTGTCCTGGATTCATAATTTCCTGTTTTTCAGTTAAAGCAACCTCTGTTTTCTCCACTTTATCAGTCCTAGGATAAAGTTGTTTGGTCAGATGCTTCCAGGAGCTTTGCAGTCAATTATTTTTCCATGTTAGGTTGAAAATCATAAGCCCCTGCCATCAATCATCCTGGGTTCAAATCTTGGGTTCACCTTAATTAGCCGCCACGTAAGCTTTCTTAGCAGTTATGCCTCAGTTTTCTCATCTGTAAAATGGGGGTACTGATACCCACCTGAGAGTTCTTGTGGAGATTAATCTTGTGTAGCAATACTGGCCCCTAGTAAGTACTCAGTAAAAGTTAGCTACCGTCCAGATCTGGATGGGGAGCTCAGGGAAGCAGAAAGTTCTTGTCTTGTTAATTCTGTGGCTGAGATTCCTCATCATTATGCTAGACAGTGATCTTGGCCAGATCCTTCACTCAAATAGTCCAATATTCTCCGCATACTTATTTATAACTGCATGTATAATTCCACATTAGTCTCTGAAATTTTAGTTTCCTTAAAATAAAAATAAAAAAAGCCTCTTAAAGCAGAAGTGTTTCTAAAAAGGAGAAATTGGTTTCCTATTGCCTTTTAAGGTAATAGGAATAAGACATTTTCTCACATTTCCACCCTGGATGGAAATTTTTGCATGAAAATATGATTTGCTCTTTTTCTTAAACTTTCTTTTAAATATGTGCGGTTGTTGCCTGTTCATAGTATCTCCTTATAATATCCATGTCCACTGGATCATCCTCAAACTGCATATGCATAGGACAGGGCTTATTCTATCTTCCCAGGGAATTTCTTGTCATGGCAAAGAGTAAGTCTCAAGGACAGAAAACCGAGCAGTGAAAAAAAACAAAAATTATGTGCACATGTACATATTTGGGGATGGATCGGAATGTTTGAAGAGACTTCAGAAGCAGCATTCCACATGAAAGGTATAATGAGGCAGCTCAGTTCTTTGTCTAGACTTGATTATTAGAATTTCAGTAATGATTACTTTTTTTTTTTCCAGGGGAAGGTCCTATTGGGCTGCTCTTTGTTCTTTTAACAGATTGCCTTGTAAATGAAATTTTTCTCTGCTTCTTGCCTCAAGTATTCTATGTAATATTCGCTCTTTGGTATTATAGATTTCCTTTAGTGACTACAAAGGCACTTTACTAGACCCTTAGGCAAGTGTAATAGAATGCTTGAGAATGCAGCAGCTTCTTAGGTTCAACACCGAACACCTTTCAGCCAAAGCCTGGCAGTTTCATTGTTTACTAACTCCGAAAGGCGCTCTCAGGGCTCTCATTGTGCCTTGGTTTGGAGAAGGTAGGCCTTAGGTGGAGTGTGATAACTCTTCAAGGAAAACGCAGATTGTGCCTTGGTTTGGAGAAGGTAGGCCTTAGCTTAGGTGGAGTGTGATAACTCTCTTCAAGGAAAACGCGGCCTTCTTCTGTGTAGTTACACAGAGCAGGGTCAGGAGCAATGAGCAAACGTGAAATTGGATCCTATTTTGGTTTTCTCGTTGGAAGTGCTTGGGATGAGCTACGCCTTGACATAATGAGGTCCCCGTTGCTGGAAGTGTGTAAGCATCCTAAAGCCACGATTGTGCAGTCGGATATTTCATTCTCTGATGGTCACCAGGCCAAAGTGTTTCTCATCTGTCACCAGATATTGTAGTGAGGACTGGTTATATGGTCTGTCGGTTGTTTGTTTTCACAATAATTGAGAATTGTAAGAACTGTTTGGAGAAAACAGAGATCAAACTCACTGCACAGAGGAGCTTGGGGAAAGGCAGACTTTGAGTGGATGGAATTACTTGTGTTACTGGAGCGTATACCGTCCCCCTGACTTAAAGCAACTCTGCCCCTCTACCAGGTATCCCTCCGCCAATGGAAGAGGGAGACGTGTGTGCCATTGCCTGTGTTCTAACAGCACTGTTTTGGTCACCAGCAAGGGGGTGACATGGAATGGCATTTCTATGTGTCTGTCACAGAGACACAGTTCACACTGAGAGTCTGGTCTAGCGCCCTGTGAACTCGGCAATGTTTCTGTGGTGCTAGCACTCCGGCCCTCAGAGCATATCTTTCAGGCGGGGCTTGCCTGTGAAGATGCTTTCCCCGGGCCCCATCCAGATCTAGACTCAGGTTCTTGACTCTGCATGCTGTGCTTAGAGATCAAATCGGCCAAATCCCCGGAGTTAAACTGCCCTGGGGTCATGGGTACAAAGATGATGAAGGCAGCTCTTTTCCTTCTAGATGTTTCCCGGGCCAGGGCAGTTTTCTAGCTACCCTTGGAAAGAAAGGGAAGTGAGATCTTGGATGAGCATGCATAGTCCTGCAGAAAACTGTTCCCCAGGTCTCAGCTGCAGCGTAGAACTGGAGGCTAGACTCATGTGATGCACCGAGCCCAGCGGCCTGTCCCCTGGATGCCTGGAGCCATTTCAGTAGAAACAACGGTGCCCTCCCCCAGGGACTCCCAGGCTCCTGTCCCTGTGCCCCCGACTCCAGTAGCTCGCAGCCCCTTGGCTCTGGGTGTTCAACCCAAACAACCCTTTGTCTCTTCACAGACTCTTTGGTGGGAAGCCTAGCAAGCAAGTGCCCATGGCCACAGCTGAAAACATGAAAAACGCGGTGGTCCTCTCCAATCCTCATGCCACCTTGACCCAGCCAGGTAACTTAGAGTCCCCCTCGGGCAGTGGCGCCCTGAGCAGCGGGAGCAGCAGTCCGCTCTACAGTAAGAATGTGGACATCAACCCGTCTCCGCTAGCCTCCAGCCCCAGCTCAGCACACTCAGGCCCCTCCAACAGCCTCACCTGGGGCACCAACGCCAGCAGCTCCTCAGCAGTTAGCAAGGGCTTCCAGTCCGTCAGCAGCCTGCACACCAGCTGTGAGTCCATCGACATCTCCCTCAGCAGTGGCGGGGGGCCGAGCCACAACTCCTCCTCGGGCCTCCTCGCCTCCTCTAAGGACGACTCCCTGGCTCCCTTTGTGCGAACCAACAGTGTGAAGACCACACTGTCCGAAAGGTTGGTGGTATGCGTCTGGCTGCCTGTATCTCTCAGAAAGACACCCTTTCAGGAGGCAAAGGATTATGTCAGGAATCCCAAGTGGCAAGTCCCCTTTGCCTGGGAGACGGCCCTGTTTCTTATCACCGGTGTCTTCCTGTAGGAAAGCCAGTTTGGGATAGAATGAAACTCGGCTCCGCTTCCTGTTATCTTTCTCATTATGGTTATTCTCAGTGTTTGGAGCCACTGGAAGTCTCGTGGAGGCAGATTTAATGCATCCATCCGAAATGGCATTCCACCTTTGAAATCCTTCCATCCTATTCCCTTTGTTCTTTTTCCTCCCACTGTAATTGTGTAGGCAGAGTGGGTGGCCGGCTGCAGCCACGGGGGTGTGGCAGGATGTTCTTTAGGCAGTAGGCTCGATTTCGCGGTCCTCATGGCAGACACCCTCCTACTGAGGGGCTGCTGGCCAGTGAGAGGAGATCAGGAAACCAGAGCGCCCCAGAGCTGCGGGTCCCGCTGCCACGTGATGTGTCCATTGTCTCCCTGGGTATGAGAAAAATCACTGTATATAACGACTCCTCCCCTTTCCTCCGATCTAATGTTCCTTCTCTTGTTTTCTACCTGCCTGGACTTCTAGCCCTCTCTCCTCCCCTGCCGCTAGCCCTAAGTTCTGCAGAAGTACTTTGCCCAGGAAACAGGACAGGTAATGACATCATAGGCCCGGGACCCCACCGAGCCTCCAGGTTCCTCTGCCCCTCTGTGTTAAGCCAAACGTTTTGTGTGAGGCTGTTGGCCTGAGGCTTCCGCTTGTGCTCGTGGCTCCGGTGTAGTACGTGACCCCCGGACATGCCAGTGAGGGTCTGTTCCGCTGTCCACTGAAGCCCCGAGAGGCGGGCTGGGCTGGTCCCTCCCTTCCCAGCTTGGGAAGGAACCGCAAACCTGCACTTGAACTGGGGCGGCAGAAGCTCTCACTTGCCCTCCCCTCCCCTCCGAGTCCAGAAATGATCTACCACCCACCGTGCAGCTTGGCCCTCACCTTTGTCTCCCACCCCCTCGCTCCCCTTGCTCCCCCTGCTCCCCACGCAGCTGGCTCTTCTCCCTTTCCAAGTCCTTTGCTGCAGTTTGGCTCCGTCTGTTTTGCAGGCTGCTGTGTTCCCTGTGCCCATTTCCTGTAACGATAATGAAAAAGAATCTGTGACGCATTGAGACTTTATAAATGAAGAGGCTTGTTTGCCCCCAGCTGCCCTGTGGGTGGGCCTCAGAGATGGATATTGACCTGAAATTTGTGGGGGAGGCATGGCTTAGCCAAGCATAACAAACAGATGTTGTTTCGCGCTAGAAAAAAAAAATTAATGAAAACCCTCTTCACCCCATCAACAGCAAAAACTTTGTTGTTGTCACACTCACAGACCAAGCCTTTAAACCCTGGTTCTTTGGAAATCTGAATGCCTTGACTTTATCAGCCAGCAAGTTGTAACACGCCCCGACTCAGGGCCAGGGCTCAGCTCCTAGCTACGTCCAATAAGGACTGCAGGAACAAAGAGGGACCTGGAATTCATGAGTGAATTCCAAATATGCAGACGGCAGGCCTCTTGAAACCCTCCTACAAGTCCCTTCTCTCACTGAAGTCACTGCCGGTGGCACTGGGCGTGGCCCCGAGTTAGGGGCTCAGAGAAGCTGGCATCTCTCTCTCCGCGAAGCAGTAGTGATGGTGCAGAGATGGGCGACGGGGCCACGGAAGGCACGGGCTCTGCTTCAAGGTGCGGCAGCCCCCGAGTGTGGCTTTGAACCTGTGGGGTTGAGTGCCTCAGGCCTCCGGGGGTAAGGTCTGCCCTAGGTCAGCGCAGGCCAGGGCTGGGGTTCTTTGGTTTCCCGTGGAGGTGCTGCATGGCCAGTGGAGAAGGGAGCGCCTCTGGTGAAGTGAGTCTCTTTCCCCAGATCTCGTCAGCCCCGTCTCAGCCTGTCCCTCCTCACGCCGCCTGCTTTTTCTGTGCTTCTCTGAAGTTCTCATTTTTGTTTTAACTTTCCTACAGTGACCCGCACCTTGATAGGAACACTTTGCCTAAGAAAGGACTCAGGTATCTGTGTCTCCTTCTTGCATCCATGCCATGTGGTGTGGCTTTGGGGCTTGGCTGGTGGGGGTTCGGGCTGGGCTGGGGTCCCCGCTTTGGCCACCGCAGTCAGACCTTGGATGAACGCTGCCCTCACACCCTCTCATTCTCATCTGTCCATTCGTTGGTTTATTTGCTTGAGCAGAGGCTGTGCTTTGGGGGGCTTAATG